ATCCTGACTGGCTCGTCTCCTCCCCGAGACCCCTCTGCAAGGGTATCTCCAGTGGCCTACAAATGGGCTTTGGGTCTCCACTCCGCACTCCCCGCATCATTCACTATGGTAAGATTTTTTGTTCTGATGATGCCTTATACCTGATCCCTTCGGCACCTCGTGATCGCCTAGGCTGGTGTGCTTTGTCCATGTGGGTTTTGTTGCTTCTGAGCTAGATGGCTGCTTGTTTACCTTCAACCTTTTAAGACCCCAGACGCTGTATCTTTTGATAGCCGGGCACCATCAGCTTTCTTAACCACATTTGCTTATGCACCCACTTTGTCTTCAGTGGTTGTGTTGGGAAGGTGAGCATCATAGAATGTCAACTTAATAGAAGAAAGTATTCTTGCATTGAGGGAGTATTAAGTTATAACTTATTGAGCATTTTTAGTAATAACTGTTGATAAACTTGTCGATTACCTTTCTTTGGATATTGTTTTTAATGTGACTTATTTGTGACAAACACCATTTTTGTTTAAGTTGCTGCTTTTATGTTAGGTAAACAGTATGTTTTAGATCAGCAATCCTCACCCTATAGGTCACAACCCCCTTGGGGGTCGAATGACCCTTTCACAGGGGTCACCTGATTCATAACTGTAGCAAAATTATAGTTAAGAAATTGCAATGAAAATAATTTTATAGTTGGGGGTCACCACAACATGAGGAACTGTATTAAAGGGTTGTGACTTTAGGAAGGTTGAGGACCACTGTTTTAGATGGTGTAATATTTTTCCTCCAGTCTTCACAGTTAGCCATTCAGAACAAGAGGGCTTGATTGTATAGAAGCCCATTGAAGGAGACCCAGTTCCTAGCAGAGGTAGAGTGGGAAGTTACACTATCTGTGTGCAGCATCCAGTGTTGTGGAAAGAAGACTTACAATATGTAACTACAGAGCTGTAGTGCCATTAGAAACTGTGAATTTCCAAATAAATATGAACACCTGTCTTTAAAAAATTGACTTGATAACGCCTAACAACAACAATAAAACAACAAAATACACATGTTAAAAATACACACGTGTTTGTGTGGATGTATCAAAATTTGTGAAGATTTAATTGAGGGTTTTTGTCTGTATTTATAAAGGATGTTGGTCTGTAGTTTTTTTTTTTTTTTTTTAGTACCTGCTCTGCAGTGAATTAAAAATGCTCTTGTTATTTTAAAATTTTTTAGTGTTTGTGTTTTTTCTTCTTGGAATATTTGATAGAAATTGTAATTAAAATCATATTTTTAATATATTTTTCTAGTGTTGGTGTTTTTCTTCTTGGAATATTTGATAGAAATTGTAATTGAAATCATTGGGGCCAGGAGTGTCTTCCTAGTTTTGCTTTTAACCTGGTACATCATTATTTTTAAAGTGGGGCTTTTGCAGAGTCTGGAGATATATCTTACTTTTCATATAGTCAGACATTGTCTTTAAATTGTTATGTTTACATGTTTTATATTAAGTATAAATTAATCTATATCATTTAATTTTTGGTCTCTTTTATTTACTGTATTTCTTTCCCCTCCAGAAATGTTTTATATTATATGACGTGTTTTCAGTGCTGTATTTTATTATTTTTAATTTTTATGTATTTTATTTTTCATGTATCTCTTTGTATGGTTCTTTTAGTGGTTGCTTTAGCGATTGGGATCTTTATTTCTTGAGCACAGTCGAAATGCAATAAAATGTTCATTTGTTAAAACCAAACAGCTTATATTTCCATGGTTTGATATCCCCCTACTACTTTTAATAAAGTGGACCAGTTTAGCTTTATTATTTGTTAAATGAGTTTAAGATACAGCTGAGGTTTTACCTTATGATTCTAAATTAATTATGGAAAATAGTGAACAATTGAAATAGTATTTAACTGGATTACAGTACAGGTAGAGAAATTAGAGATAATAAAGTTGCAAAGCCCCCTTATATTATCCTTTTCTGAGTCTTTTTGTGCTGAGAACATTGTAATAATAATAATATTTTTTTTCTATTTACTTGTAAATACCAAAAGCATTATTAATTTTAATATTTTTGACAATTTGGAGGCAGTATTATCCCCATTTTAGTGATATAGATGCAGCAATTCAACAGAGTAAGTTATTTAGCATCACACTTCTGATTAATAGTGAAATTTGAGTTTGAACCCAGGCCTGCTTGACATCGAAGTCTGTATGTTTCACCATGAATCTAGTCATTCACTCACAGATGTTGAGTATGTGCTATCTGCTTGGTATTATTTGTGTTGAAATCAATACAGTGCTTTCCCTCATCTATCTTACTGTCCGGTGGGTGGGACAACTATTATTGCATAATTATAAAAATACGTAATTGCAAATTGTGGTAAGTGTAGTGAAAAGAAACACAAGATAGGATAAGAAACAAAGTCTGGGGCCTGGTCTAGACTGTGGTCTGGAAGGGCTCTTTGAGGAAGTAATGATAGAAGGGACACTCCAAGATGAGTGGGGTTGGCAAAGAATGGGGTGGAGGGGCCGGGTAGGAGGGTGGCTGTATCGGCAAAGAGAAAATGACATTCCAAGATCTTGAGTTGGGAAAGGTTTAAAGAACTCAAGAAGCTGAAACAAGTGTGGCTACAATGCAGAATGAAATAATAGGAGGTGAAGCTGGGGGAGAGTAAGTCATTTCTCCAGCACTTTGTAGGTCGTGTTAGGAGATTATGGTGGTGAATTGACGGTTCTCATCATTATCTCATAACATGTCCATTTAGAGCAGCGTTGCTCAACCTGTGGGTTGCGACCCCTTCACAGGGGTCGCCCAATTCATAACAGTAGCAAAATTACAGTTATGAAGTAGCAGTGAAAATAATTTTATGGTTATGGGGTCACCACTACACGAGGAACTGTGTTAAAGGGTTACAGCATGTAGGAAGGTTGAGAACCACTGATTTAGAGCATATGTTATGAGGTAAAAACTATTGCTTTCCATGAATTAGTTGATGGGTGTAGCTGACATTTCTTTACCTTAGTATAAAGCAGTCAGTTCTAAGACTATAGCATTATAATCATCCCTCAGCATCCATGAAAGATTGGTTCCAGGACCCCTTCCCTGAGGATACCAAAATTTGTGGATCTTCAAATCTCTTAGATGATGACACAATACTTGCATATAACCTACATATATCTTTGTGTATACAATCATCTCTAGATATTTACAATACCTAAAACAACATAAATGCCTTGCAAATAGCCCTTCACACTTCCTCTCACTGAACCTTGGAGTATTTTCTGTGGGTATTTAATCATTCCTCCCATCCCAAACAGTTTTCATCTCTGGTTGGTTGCATGAAATCTGGACCCTGTGGATGTGGACTGCAGAATGTTCTTGCTTACCTGTTGTAATGTCTCAATTCGTGCTCTCTATTTTACTTCTCTGGGTTCTAATAGCCATTGCAATGGCTGCACAGAACTCACAGACAAAATTCGTGATTAAAATGTTTATTAAGGAAATTAACAAGTTATGCCAGTGAGAAATGCTCAGGGTTGAGTTGTTTATCAAGACATGTTACAAAGTTCTATAAAATCTGCTACTAAATGTTCAAAGGCCATACTACTCTATTGTAAGCCTGCACTCGAAGAAGGCATTCACTGTAAATTCCATGGGTCAGCAAGCCCAACTTCTTGAATTAATGCCCAGAGGCACCTCATTCCACTACACGTCAGCCCGAGGGCACTCATTCAGCTTCTGTGGGTCAGCAAGCCCATCTTCTCCAATTAAGTGCTCAGAGGCACCCTACTCCACAAGCTAGCCTCCTGCATAAAAGCACTCAGCTATTTGTTTCATGGATTGGGAAGACCATCACTCAGTTCCATGCTTTGGCCCTTGGTTCTGCTGCTGCTCCTCTGATGGTATGGCTGTTTTCTGGACCCAAGAGGTTCACTGCACAGGGATCTTGGGTTCTGCAAACATTCTCCACTCCTGTCTCTTACTAGTAATGAGATCCCTTCTCCTGCTTCTCAAAGAGCTCATTTTATACACAGCAGGATGTCACTTCAGAGAATTTTATTTTCAATTACAGTTGAATCCATCAGTTTCTTCCCCTCCCTTCTTACAGTCCCATACAAGGAAAGGATTTTTGGTAGAGTTAGAGACTTTGGCTGGAAGAGCCACATTAAATAATTCACTGCCCCTGTACCTGTCTACCTAAGAACCTGTGCTGCCTCACTGTTTTCTAATAAAAAGAAAATTTCTCCCAGATGGTTACTATTTACTGTATTGACTAAAATACAGGTTAGAATATCATGTGATGAGAAATGTACTTTGAAAGTTATAATTTCAACTTAAGATTTGCTGCATATCTAATACAATGTGCTTCTCTTTATTAATTTCCTCATGTTCTAATATTGAAACACATTTTATGTCATTTTCAGTCTGAGGGAAAAGGCCATATCAGTGCTGGAGATTCAATATATGAGGTGGTGAGTCTACAGCGAGAGTCTGAGAAGGAGGAGCCAATCACTCCTACTAGTGGAGGTGGTCCAATGTCACCCCAAGAGGATGAACCAGAAGAGGGTAAGTATTGGGACTATTCAACTTTCTCACTTTATAATATTACTTTACTGGTAATCCCCAAAGAGATTATTCACGCATGCTGGCGCACGCGCGCGCGTGTGTGTGTGTGTGTGTGTGTGTGTGTGTGCGTGCGCGGCTCGTACAGGCACAGAGCATGAGTATTCCTACCCGTGGGCTAAATTTGGTTCCACAACACACAGAAGAGAATATGGTTGATTTGGTTCCTTGGTTACATGACGCCTGTTGTCACATGCATAGCTGTTTTAATTGTCACATACACAGCAGTATCACTGCTCTTTTGGTGTGAATTTTATTTCATTGAGGTATTTTAGAATCATGTAATAATACATTTCAAATTCTCTGTATTGTTTTTAGAATTTGATTGGTATGTCATGCCCTTGCCTTGGACACTGCTGAGTTCTGAGTTGTATTTTTTTTCTTTCTGTATCACTTCACACTCACTTTTTGGAAATAGTGTAATAGCTGCTCTGTTCACTACCTGAATGCTGCTGAGAGATGTTAAGCAACCTCATAAGAATCACATAGCATTTGGCTCTGTGCTTAGTTTTCTTTCTATAGAAATTAGAGCTAAATGGAAGCTCTTCACTCCAAGCCTTTATATTATCTGCTTGAAGTCCCAGGTAGTGTAAATGGTTAGCATACTTGGCTGCTGACCAAAACATTAGAAGTTCAAATCCACTGAGAGATACTCTAGAAGAAAGGCCTGGTGATCTACTTCTGAGTAATTAGTACACTTTTACTCTGACACCATGGTCACCATGAATCAAAGTCAACTTGATGACATTTGCTCCCCACTTCCCCACTTCCAGCTTATCTGTGTATAGTCTTAAAAAAATCTCACTGCCATCAAGTTGATTTCAACTCATAGTGACCCTGTAGGACAGGGTGGAACTGCCCTTGTGGATTTCAAAGATTGTAACTCTTTATGGGAGTAGAAAGCCTCATCTTTATTCTGTGGAGCAGCTAGTGATTTCAAATCACTGACTTGTGGTTTTCAGCCTGACACATAATCACTACACCACCATGGATTATTAAAAGTAAATTTGTGAATTTATGCCCTCTTTAAAATAAGCATCATAGGATTCTGTCTTTATATGAAATTATTTTGTTTTTATAGCCATAAAATAGTAGCTATTGTTTATTGAGAATTCCTGGGTGGAACAAATAGTTAATTCAGTTGGCTACTCACTAAAAGGTTGAAGGTTCAAGTCCACCCAAAGGTGCCTGCCTCAAAAGAAAAGCCTAGTGGTTTATTTCGGGGGGGGGGGGGGGAAGGAAACAAAAAACGAAAGAAAAGAAAATCAGCTATTGAAAATCCTGTGGAGCACAGTTCTACCTTGACACACATGGGTCACCATGAGTTGGAATCTACTTGATAGCAATTTAAAAAATATATTTATTAAGTGATTGAGGAAGCACCAGCTGCTCTGAGGAAACAGTTGAGGCTTTTTACTTCTATAAAGAGTTACACTCTCAGAAACCCAAAGGGGCAGTTCTGTTCTGTCTGAGAGGATCACTATGAGTCAGGATCAACTCAATGGCAGGAAATTTGGTTTTAGTTTGGTTTGAGGATCCCTGCTGGCTCATTGGTTAAGTGCTGGGCTGCTAACCAAGAGGTGAACCTACCAGCCACTTCTCAGGAAAAATATGTGGCAATTGAAAATATCATGGCTTGAGTTAGGCACTTCTTGGCTCTCAAAGTAACATCTTTGCTCTTTAACGTTTTAAAGTGGGTCTTGTGGGGCAGACTTGCCCAGTGTAATAAATATATTGTTTGATTTCTTGACTGAGGCTTCCATGACCACTGGCTGTGAATCCAAGTAAAACGAAATTCATGGCAACTTCAACCTTTTTTTCTGCTCATTTTTGTTGTTGTTAAGAATATACTATACTGTCTGGGGTCTTAAAGGCTTGTATTCAAACAAGCACACATCTAAGTGAGGAGTCAACACAGAAGTAGCATACCAGCTTGTGCGATCCAAAGATGACAATTACAAAATATGAATATCGTGAGGAGAAAAACATCAGAACACACCCAGTGTGTGGAGGGCTATGCAGGACAGTGGGAGCCCATAATCCATCTCCAGAGTGGCTGGTCAGACTGAGCTGCAGGCAGATTTGTTCTAGTCACAGGCAAGCATTTCAGACAGCCTTACGATCAGGCAGAAACCACTGTAATCTTGATGATCCTGGATCAAACTCAACACTTGGTCAATTGACCACCCTATAGATGTGACCTGAATTTGTTCTGGGTGCAAGTATTTTTTTCTGGTTCCATGACAGAAATTTCTTCCTCGGCTTTTGAATATTGATAGGGGTCTTTTCCTTTGTATGCAGTATTTTTTCTTCTTTTCTTTGTACTATTATGATTTTATCTTTACCACCTTAGTGCTATTTCGTATTTAATTGTTTTCTGTTGGGTCTCCCAGCTGTGAAGCACTGGAGGACTGGATGCATAATGATAACCACTGATACAAGGAGATATAGGACATACAGGGGTAGGGAGTGGGTGATAGGGAAGTAAAGGGGATTTGGGGAGTAAATAATTAAGGCATGAAGGGGAGAGGGAGCACTAGAACGGATTACGATTGCATCACTCATTTTAAAGGTGATATAACCAATGGGGGGGATGCTTTAATATTGATGTGGTAATGATTGTATAATTCTCCTTAATATGATTGAACAGTTGAGCTTATGATATGTAAACTGTGTGCCAATAAAACTACTGGGGGAAAAAGAAATACTAATCATTTTTAAAAGTTTAAAACAAATAAAAAAGAATATACACAGAATTCTTACCTAATTTGTACATGTCCAATTTGAGGACATTGGTTATATTCTTCAAGATGTGCAACTGTTCTCACCCCCTTTTCTGAATTTTTCCTCTCCATTAACTTAAAATTTCCTGTCAAATCTTTCATATTGTTGTCAACTTGATCCCACACAGATATTTTTTTGAAAAGCACCACGCTCCAGGCAGATAATCTTTATTAGTTAAGCTAAACTATAATTTAAGTCTTTAAGAAGACTCCAGGGGATATTTATGGTTTAAGGTTTAGAGCTTAAAGATGACCTTAGGGCAATAGTTTCATGTTCATGATTTATAAGACATAATGTTATTAGGATGTCAATACTACCCAAAGCAAGCTATACATTCAATATAATCCTGATAAAAATTCCAGCAGCTTTCTTTAGAGAAATGGGAAAGTCAGTCCTTATTTTTATATGGAATTGCAAGAGGCCCCAAGTAGCTAAAGCAATTATAATAATGATGTATGTCTGGAAAAAAAATCAGAGCTCCTGTGACTTTACCGGGGGAAAGGAGAATCAACCTCATCATCAGTTTTATGAGGAAGAGGTCAGACATGCCTCCACCCTCCAACCTTCTTTAGCAATTCTGATGCCATCCATCTCACTCATGGTACTTTGGTTCTCTGCTGGATTTGGTAATTTGTTATAATGGCTATACAAAACTCAGATAATATTAATGATGAGGTGATTTATTAGAGAAGTGAACAGGTTACAATTCAGAATCAGAAATGCTCAGGATACTGCAATTCTTTGGTCAAGAGAACTGCTTAGTGATGATTGCAGGCAATCAAGCATTCTTGTCTCTGGCCTGCAGTGCCTCAGCCAAGTGCTCCCTTGACCTGTGTTCCAGTCAAGTGTTACAAAACTCCTTTAGCAGTGTCAATTAATGCCCAAAGGATATGCTACCATAAGCCTCAGCTGGAAGGTGCTCAGATCTAGCCTCTTGCTCTTGGAGGCACTGACTCTGCTAGTGAACCTTTGACTGAAAGCATTCCACTTTGTTACTCTGTGGGTTGGGAAACCCAATGCCACGGTCTGTGCTCTTGGTGCTGATGCATTGCTGTGGCCACCATTTCACCACACCATTACCACCACATTTCTGGTTCACAGCCCTCTGTCTCTTGGAAAAAGGAGGTCTAGTGTGCAGAAATCTCAGGGTCCAAAGGGAGCATTTCATTCATGGCTCTTCTTTTCCTTATGGTAGTGGGATCCCCCTCCTTGATCCTCTTTTAAATATGATTCATTTTACAACTGGTGGTTTAAAGACTATATCTATTTGTAGCAAAGCCATATCAGAAATTCACTGTACCAAAGCAATGCTATGTCTCCTGGTCTTCTTGCTTGGGCCTTTGACCTTGCTTTGGCATGGCCTCTACTGCTTTTGCCATTTTGGCAGCAATTTCTAAACTACCCTGCTGATGGCTCTTCTGCCTTCATGGTCTCAGGAATTCGTTCTGTTCTTGCTTCGGAGGTAACTCTCATATAGCCAAATGACTGGCAACTAAACTGACCAATCCCTTCTATTAGTATTTTGCATGCCCTATTTGAATAGGTTCACCCAGTCACTGGGTAGGAACTACAGAGACTTGGGTAGAAGAGCAATATTAAGAAATTTTATTTCACCACAATTAGGGAAACAAGTTTTACCTATGTAGATAGATGTATTTTGTAAATATTTTCTCCTGCTCTGTAGTTTACCTTCTCATTTACTTAATAATACCATTTGAAAAAACAAGGTTTAATTTTGATGCAGCCCAGTTTGTCTATCTTTTCCTTTTGATCTGGGCATTTTGAAGTTCATCTAATAAATCATTGCATAACTCAGAAGTCACAATGATTTTTGCCAGGGGAAGTCAGCCCCTAACACATCATTACGGGTCTGGTAGGCGCAATTTTACAGTGATAATAAGTAAAAATTATAGTGAAGTTATAGAGAATGAGAGATAGAAGAGAAATATAGAAATAAATGGAGTCAGACACATATCATGGTAGCATGCTCACCTTAGCCCCGTGTGGTGGTCCACATGGAGAGAGAGAGAGAATCTTTAATGCTAACCAAGGCTTTTATATTCTCTGGGAACATGCAAGCCCCCTAATTACAGGGGAAGACATACGTCATAGGAAGGGGTTGTGCTATAGGTAATACAGTAGTGGAAGGGGGTGTTCTA